ATTCTCTGAACAAAGTCCTGCAGCCCTTTCTTACAGAGTACATCCTCTCCTCCAAAAACTAACATTAAAGCCATCTCAAGCAGTGCCTGTCACTCTTTCTGATCCATATATTCATTTGGTTTAATTTTTCCCTATATGACTGTCCCTTTTTTTACTACTATTTAATGTAACAAGAAAGTAAAAAAAACCCACCCTTTTAAGGCAACCTAAAGTATGAAGATCGAATATTCCCTGTTAGTAAACATTATTTTAAATGCAATACTTCATGTGCCGTATGGTCACAGGGAGAGAAGAGATCAAATAGGAAACAGACAAGTGTGAAATATAATTAAAATAATTTCAAATAACAGAGGCAATATGCATTAATGGAGGAGGACTTCAGAATGCAAACAGGCTATTTTGAGCTGGGTTGTAATTTCAATAGGGAAACTCTAGAATTACTCTGTCCTTCTGAGCTATGCTAAAATAAAAACTATGAAAAGGAAAATTGAGTCCATCTGCTTAGTCCAATCTATTTCATAGTGAGTCATTCTATTTTCCCATCACAAAATGGGCCCTTCATTATCTTCTATTTCCACAGCCAGCTCCACACAAAGACTCTCTTCAGGATTCTGGCTGCCAGGCAGTCTTCCTCCAGGAAGCAAGGACAAGAATTCTTTAACAATAAATTTCACAAATATTAAATGAAATAGCCTAAAGTTGTAGAGAATTTTGTATTATTTATCTCATCCACGGTAAGCAGTGAATGTAAAGGTACAATACCACTTAATAAAACTGTGAGGTTGCCCTCTATAGAGGTTATACTTTGAGCATGAACTGGTCTCTGTTTAATTGACACACTTTAATCCATATTTTCAGAATGATATAGACTTTATTCTTTTGAAAATAAGTGGAAATATTTGTAGCAAAGTATACAAAACCAAGATTTGTCTTACACACATAAATATATACAGGTCACAGAGCTATGACATCATAGAAGTAACTGAGGTGTGGTGCTATAGCTCACATATCTATAGTGCTGCAATGGATGGACAGAGGCTCTGCTCTTCAGAAAGATGGCCAGGGAAGATAAGGAGAGGATCTCTCCATGTGAAGCAGCAGTTTGGCTGTGTGGAGCTCTTGTACAGGCTGGACAACACAGCTTGGTGAGAACCTGAGGGTCAGGATCAGAGGAGAGATCAGTGAGGGTGACATCATGGTGGTACTCTGATACAGACAGCACAGCTGGGGTGAGGAAGTGGGCAATGCTCCTCAGAACAACTTCTTTAAACAACTCAAGGAAGTATCTGGATCGCAGACTTTTTTTTTACAGGAGATTTTAGCCTCACTGACACATGCTGGAGGACAAAATGGCAGGATGGGAGTCCAGGAGAATTCTGGAGGGTGTCAAGGATAGTTTCTTGATACAGGCACTGGATGGGCCAACCAGTATCATGCACAGTTGGATCTGTTATTCAGAAATAAGAAAGAAGTGGGATCCTATGGGAGGCAGCTTGGAGGCACAAGGAGCTCAGGAAAGCTGTCTGTGAAAACAACCTCTTCCACATGCAAGACTTTTCATGCTGACACTCAGGAGGACAAGCAGACTTATTGGGACACCAGCATGACTAAAGAGGGAGTTTGTAACTCAGCTGCAGTGCAAAAAGGTAGCACCAGATGTAGAAGCAGACACGGATAAGGCTGGGGTGACTCAGTGATGTCTTTGCCTCAGCCTTCACCAAGGTCTCCCAGGTCTCTGCGCTTAGCAGCAGGGGTCAGGGAGGAGGAGAGCAACCAGCAGTGGATGAAGATCAAAGAAGGGATGACTTGTGATAACTGAACCCATACCTACCTGTGGGAAGAAAGTGGTTGGGAACAGCACATGGATTTACCAAGGGTAAATCATACCTGACCAACCTGATTGCCTTCTATGACAAAGTGACTGGATGTGTGAACAAGTGGCAAGCAGTGGATGTCATTTACCCTGACTTGCTTCCAACACTGTCTCCCACAATATTGTCATATCCACATGAGGATGTGACAGCCTGGGTGGTGGACAAGTAGACAGCTAAAAAGCTGGTCGGACAATCAGGCTCAGACATTCATGGTTAATGCTTTGTACTCTTCTTGGATTACAGTAAAAAGAGGAGTGCTGCAGAGCTCTGTTGTGTTTAACATCTTCATCAATGACCCAGAGGAGTTGACACACCCTCTGGGTGAAAGAGTCCTGCCTGAGGGCAGGGCTGCCATTCAGAGGGGTCATGGCAGGCTGGAGGAATGGACCAAAAGGAGCATTATGGACCTGGGAAGGGAGGGCCCCTGTCAGTGATCCAGTCTTGGGCCTGACTGCCTGGGAGACAGCTCTGCTGAGGAGGCCCTGAGAGTCCTGGTGGGCAGCAGATGGAGTCTGAGCCAGCAGTGAACCCTGGCAAGGAGATCATCTTGGGCTGTGCTAACAGGAGCACAACCAGTAGAGCAAGGGAAGGAATTATCCTCCTCTACTCAGCACTCACTAGAATACACCTAGAATATGGCATCCAGTTTTGAGCCCTCCAGCAGAAGACTGAAAGATTGAAGCAAGCTCAGTGGAGACCACCAAGATGGTCAGGACAGGACCATTTGCCCTGTGAGGAGAGGCTGAGGGGTCTGGGCTGTGCTTGTTCAGCCTGGAGAAGAGATGGCTCCAGGTGGGACCTAACAGCAGCCCCCAGTCCCTGTGGGAAGCTATTAAGGATGTGGAGCCAGGGCTCTTTACAGCAATGGATGGCAGGAGGAAAGAGAAATGGACAAAAAACTAAATTAGATATTTTGACCTGGTAAGACAAAAAACCTTTTTCCCCATGAGGGTGGCCTAGCAGTGGAGCAGTTTGTCTAGAGAGGGCATGCAGTCTCCATCCTTGGAGGTTTTCAAGACTTAACTGGATAAAGCCCTGAGAAGCCTGGTCTGATCCCATAGTCACTTTAAACAGGAGATTGGGCTAGAGACCTCCTGAGCTCCCTTTGCATCTGAGTTATCCTATGTTCCTACATAATATACACTAAAAAATAAAGTATCATCCAGTTACACATATAAAGTATCATCCAGTTTGCAGGATATACTACTGAAAACAGACACCTCATGGTGCCTATAATATTAAGTATCTTATATATTTGCTATACTGACGTTAAATACATGAACAAATATCAACAATAATATGTACAAATTATAGCTGTACTGCAGATTGACAGTCCTCCCATGCAGTGTTTGAATATTGACCCGACCTGCATGTAACAAAGAAAATGGCAGAACCAATAAAAGCCCAGGAGGTGCAAAACCAGGGGAAAAATGTGGAGGCAAAGTGAAATCCATCGTGCAATCAGAAAGAAAGGCATTAAGAGTAAACATGCAAAGAGAGAGAGAGAGGTGGGAGGGAGAGGAGGCTGGGGCTCGGCTGGAAGGGGACATGAAAGGCACAGGAGGACTGGCGTGGGGCCAGGGCATTCCTCCGCTGTCAGCAGAGCGATGTGAAACCCGCTGAGTGAGGGCCTCCTCCGTCCCCCTCGCTGAGCACCCGCAGGGATAGGACCTGCCGCCGCTGCTAACAGGGACTCTCTCAGCTCGATGTGTTATGAGGATTCAGCTCTGAAACTACTGAAAGGCAGGTGACCTGGCACAGGCATGAAAGTGGCTCCCATCAGTGAGGTCCCTGTTTGCTCCAGCTAGCCATTCTTAAAAATCAGTAAACGATGCACACAGAGAAAGTCATGAGAAGATCACTGGGGTTCCAAACGAAGTGCTCTGCATTTTGGAAAAGCCTCACTTAGATTGCCTGCTCAATTCTTTGTGCATCAGGATGCAGACCGCAATTAGATAATCATACTGTCTGATTACATTGCTATATATAAGCTATAACAAAGATTCAAAGGTTTCCTTTGAAAGCTTTCCTGAAGCTTTTGTGGATTTTACTTTTTAAAAAAATTTTGAAGAGTATTCCTTATATTTTATATATCAAACATAAATTCAAAATGAGGTCACTGTCTAAAGTATTAATTCACTAATGAGAAAATGAACAAGTAAAACATTAGGTAATATTCTTATTCTAACTTCAGGCTGAAGCTTTGGCAATGCACTTTTGGATATTACTCTTCAAATAAATACTTATTTTAATAAAAAAATAAAAGGTACTTAAAAGGCATTTAAAGGCCAGGTCATGACTTTGTTTCGGTTCTTTCCTTATTTCCTACCCAATGCACTTTGCCTCGGTGAAGTTGTATTTAAAACTATAAACTAACATACAAGCTTGCCAAGCCTCACTTAACTGAGGCTAGTTGAGTCAAACGTTGTGATTAAACAAGAGTAAATGCTGGCCCACCATGAAATCAAACCAGCGCAACACCACCAGTATTTAAGATAAGTGCTAAAAAATTCAGCAATAATTTGTTTCTTAACAAAAGTGATGGCCACATTTCTTCACAGTCTTTCAAAGCCAAGAATAAACTGCCCTTTTTGTGATATCAAGAAAATAACCTTGTTAATGCAAGGCAACTTATAAATCACATTTCAAACCTATGCTAATTAGGAATAAACTGTGTTTTGACTGTTTTCACTTTCTCTTAATAATTTGTTTTGGTCACACCTCTTTTCAGTAAGCTCCAAACACACTCCAGAGACAGGCAAACAGTTTCTTCTGCCATTTACTAGTCTAAAGTTATGGAAAATAATGTGCAAAGACATGAAATAGTCCCTCAAGAAAAATCCAAGAAAACCACTATTAGCCCTCAGTCTGAGTTACGATAACAAATCAACATTGAACTAGATTTCAGTTTTTGCACTTTGCACGCACACAAAATGCATTCACAAATTTCCGTAATTTCCACAGAAATATACCACCATAATTAATTTAACATACATGAATGAAGTTTTAACCTTCAAGGTCAGTGGTTAAAGGAAGCTGGGATATACTCCTGTAAAGACAACAGATTATTTGCCTTTCCATTCACTAAATGAAAAAAAAAAATCAACATTTCTCAACATATCTTACCGTTTGCTTTTCCTCTAAAGCTTCTCTTCCTGAGACTTTCCTTTCATGTTTTCCTAACTCCATTTCCCAGGGGAGGGAAAAAAAACAAAGCCCAATACCCTGAGCAGAAGTGATTTAACCTGACTACATGTTAGATATCCCTGTACTTTTGGAGTCGGGAGAGAAAAGTATCAGGCAGCACTGTGGTGATTTCTGGTCAGTGCATGTTTCCATTTATAGCTGTTGAAAATCCACAAATAGAAGCGTGGAGAGAGGGCAGGCAGCTGCCTCTGATAACAATAAACGTTGGTTTGGCATCAAAGCAAATTGTTCAGGAGGGATTTTGGTTACCAGCCTCATTCACTCCTGCCTCATCCCCTCTACCCCAACAGCTCATACAGAAAAAGTCCATTAAAATGAACAGCTGTGTCTCAGTAGCACTGACTTGTGCTCATGGAGGTTATTAAGCAAGTAAAACAAAAAATATAATTAGCTGGCATCACATGTTGTTATGTACAGACAGAAAGTGTACAGGACAATATTTTAAAATGGTGCTTTAACATGACTATCGAACTTTCCCTGTTGAGTGCTTGGGACTGAACTATCCTAATATACACGCACATAGAGCATACTCTCCTTTTCTAACCTCAGGACATGACATCTTCTGGGATTTTTGAAATGCAGAAGGAATTTCAAAACTTTCAGTGGGCCCTACGAGCACCCCTAAATACAAGAAATGACGAGTGAGCATCTAAAATGGAGCTAATACCCATACAGACAGTGGTTGTGCAGTCCATTAGTTGACTGCAGGAGAACAACCTGGCTCTGGTTCACAACGATAAAGTCAGGAGGCCAATATTAGAAACTGCAGCATGGGGGGAACCTCTTGGCAGCTCTGCTGTGGATGCCAAGGTTTATAACACACCCTCCCGTTGCCACATCAACTGGGTTCATGTTGTCTCGGGGGTAATTCACACACAAGGCTGGTTCTGCATGTACCAGCAAGGGATGAGAAAGCTCAATGACACGGAATCACACAGAAAATAGCTGCTACAAAAATATACTCTCTGGTCAATCTGTGGTTCATTAAGAAAAGCATAGCCCTTTGTAAAGCTGGCAGTTTAAACATCTCACTAAATCCCTAGTAAAGAAAACACATATCCTTTCCTTCTCTTCCTCTCAACACATTGGTTAAAGAAGACTTTTCTAAAATAAATAAATAAATAGACAGATAGAAAAATAAATATGTAACTATAAAAACCTTTTTCATCTATACTCATATGATCATTAGAGCCTCAGATAGGGTAGTCAAAGAAGTCACCATGCAACAGTCTATACAGTCAGTATACATATGAGTAGTTGACAAAAAGAAAAAAAAAGTAGAGTGTTCCTGCTCTGAAACTTTCTTCAGAATAAAGAAAAAGTTACTCCAGTGACAATTATATTTCTTTAGTCTCTCTTTTACCTTCTTTTTCAGAAGTGTAAGGCAGCCAGAAGATGAGTGAGTACAGCAAGGCAAACACAAAGAACCAGTCAAATCTACAAGGGCTGAGGTAGTAGAGGAAATAAATATGAGCTTGATGTCACAAGAGTAAAAATACACCTCGCTGCATCTCCTGGAAATGCTGGGATAAAAGGAACAAGAGTGAGCGACATAATACCCAGAGGAAAGCTGAAGTTTTTCCCTGCTCTTCAGCAGAAAGGTAAACATATTAAGAAGTTTGTTTCTCTAAAATCTCTTCTGTGAGGCTGAAATTTATCCCTGTGGTGAGGGACTTGCATAATGCCTTAACGACCTCAAAAGAGGACTTCAGTGGGATGCAAACCGCAGCTTACATTATGCTGCTGCTTACAATACCAACCATCCCTGTGGCCCAGGTGAAAAACCTGAAGCACCTCTGCTCCTGTTAACCTGTCCATTTGAAATGGTTTTAAATCACAGACAAGGAGCGGAGCATCTCCGGTGGATACGTTCAAATGCGTGTGCTTGGTGCGCTCCCCAGCCCTGTCCCACCCGGCTGTCAGCAGGCTCCCAAAGGGCAGCTCCCAGGGAAACCACTCCTTCCTCAAGCTGGGGAATGGACACTCAGATCGGTAAAAGAGCAGGCTGCCAGCAGTGCAACGAACTAGCAACATAGGACTCAAGACGTATATATTTAAGTCCATATAGACTTATACCAGCACTGGTAGATTTTTTCTGGAGTTTAGGTTGTGTGTAATTATGCACTCATACTAACTACCTTAAAACTTAATCTTCAGCCACTTTCACACTCTCTACTTCCAGAGTCTCTAATTGTTTTCATGGGTCAGCTCACCCATGTGAATGTCAAAGGCAGTCACTAGAGAAAGACCCAAGAAAGTGACTATGAATTGACTTTACTCATAATGATTCCAACATGAAAGGCTGATGAGAATATGCAGTTTTACAAGTGTGATTTCCATCAACATTCTTGTAAAGGTGTCTAATAGCACTCACAATAAAAAATACAACATCTCCCCCTTTCAATGTGTGGCTACTACAGCCTGACTACTAGATTCCATTAAAAAAAAAAAAAAAAAAAAAGAAAGAAAAGAAAAAAAAAGTGAAAAGTAAAATACTTGAATAGGGAAAAACCCAATTGCTCCATTTCTTGTAAATGGAAGTTCATATTCTGGATGCATCATGCTGCTGACTAGGGAGTTGGAGCAGATTGCATTGGAGATGGGAATGGGAGCAAAAAGCTAAGAATGCAACAGAGTATGACACCACACTTCATGCCATTGAGTTGAAATCAGGGAGCACAAGAAACATGGGATGCAGGGTTCTTCCATAGCCTGGATGCTAATATATAAGGACCCTGGAGATAGCGTAGAAAGGCCGGCATCATTTTGTTATCTACTGCACCTTACTCAGCATGACATTTCAACACTAAACCTAGTCAACAATCATGATTCCAACCGCATGAGAATTTGGTTTTATATAATTATGGGAGTACATTTCTTACTCTACACAGAAATAGTGGTTATTTTACTCCAAGGACTTTCTAAAACACTGTTAGTAACTGTGTATTTCCTGTTTTACTTTGCAAAGGAAAACATACTAAACAGGTGCTAAGTAAAAAGCACGTTATAGACATTGCCTACATTACTGTGCTATTTTGAATTACTTCTTTGTATTACAGTCACTGGTCTCCTAACACCTGTTTTTCTTCTCAGAGCACAACCTAACAAGAGGCCGAGAGATGAAGTGGAAGGGGAGGTAGCGTTGTAATTGGTTTTTGTAAGGAAGGGCTGAATATCCGAATTAGTAGCATTGTGTAAAGAAACCATTTAAGCAGATGTATTTTCTGTGTTCATTTGATCTGCTCTTCCTAGAAAAGGAAGCAAGTGACTATCACAAAGTTTGTGTGTCACTCTCAGCTGTTTTCATTCATGTGGCCACTGCAATTCTTTTATTTTGCACATTCTCATTTTGAGCCTGACACGGCTGTAGCCCGGGGCTGCCAGCCAATGATGGTAACACACGTGATAGATCTGCAGCGCTTCTTTCGTAAGCCGGTAGTTTTTATTTGCTCAGCATCAAACACACCATAAGCATTCAAGTCAGAAATATTAATTCTGACCCTGATGTGCTCAATCATATTATACTTAGATGAAATACACCCACTTAAGTCACATATATCAGTTAAAAAACCCTAAAACTAATACAGAAATCACATCCACAGTGACTTTTAGAGGTCTGATTTGGAGAGACAGTTTCTGTCACACACTTAAGTCAAAAAGTTAAAAGAAAAGCAAACAAACACAAAACTCAGTAGGGTCCTTCACTACTTTTCGCCACAAGTGAAGCTTTCTAGGTTATTTTTGGTGTCCACCCTTCTCTCAGCCCCAGCACGTCACACCAGTATCCCTACGTTACTCCAGCAAGTCCACCCAAGGTCATATGCACATGCCTGGAAACGTCAGGATCTCGGCAGCATTTCTAGCTGGTATTTCATGGCATGTTCCTCGCAGAAACGAAAAGCATGCCAGAGCCACCAGGGCTGTATAGGGAGCAGGCTTACCTTCCAAGCTGAGGGAGCCGAGGGCGGGAAGCTGATCCTTAGGAGAGGTGGGTCCACATTCCTGCCGTGGCACCCAGCAGCTGCTGCTGTCGCTCCCTGGTCCACCCCGCTGGCTCTGCAAACACTCAGGGAGTGGGAGCTAGCAGGCGTGGAAATAGGAGGAAACACCACAGGCACCACAACTTTCTGCTTTGCATGTGAGGAAGCAGAGCTTTACATGTCATGTATAGGGAGCAGGAGTCTCCCTGACAAATTTGCTCCAAAGGGGCAAGTTTGAATATGTTTGAGGATAAAAGCCAAGGAAGGTTATTTCAACATTACAATAAATTGATTCTACAGCTCTGAGCCTTCTCTGACACGGCAGTCCATGGAAGCTGTAAGTGCTTTCTTCTCTTCATGGGTCTTTTAAGTTGATTGTGTCAAAGTGGACTATACTTATGCTGGCAAGGTCCTACATCTGCTGTCCTTCAGGAGTACAGAGGGTGGTAAAACAACTGAGCTCTTTTTTGTTGGATATCCATTGTTTCAGCTGTATACACATGATGTCCCTGAACATTACTGCTATATTCCAGCAAATCAAATTATTCCAGGCTGTAAAATATATTTCAATAGATGCAACACAAAAAACTCTTCCTTCCATATTCAGTGGTACAGTTTGCCTTGCCTTCCTCCACAATGATGGACATGGCAATGATGAGATGCGGCTAACGAAATACATTAAGAAAGCACTAAATACCTTCTTAGCTAATTTTTTAACTGATGTGGCAGCTGGGAGTGAGGAGAAGCCAGTTCCCCATGGAAAAGGAATGGCTGCTCCCTAGTCAGGCAGTGGACTTTTTCTAGGCACCTCCCAGGTGAGCAGGAAGCAAGAGCACAGGGTATGAGCCATCATTAACAGACCAACACCCATCGCACCTTTTCCACCTTCTGCCTCTGCCCACTCTTTATCAAAAACCAAACCTCAAAAAAGACATTACTCAGTGCTGATAAGGACACCAGCATCTACCTTCACCTCTGCCCCTCTTTTGCACAGCAAAAGAG